CTCATGGGCACTCGGCCTCCTTGCAAGCAGTGCTGAGGGAGCCCAGCAATGCTGCTGAATGTATCTTTGGGCTCAGTCTGCAGAGCCTTTCAGGAAGCAGTGGTTAGGGCAGGGTGGTGTTTCTGATGGCTTGCAGCAGCTCTCACTAGCTCTTCTGTTTTGGGCATGTCCTTGTTGAACGTGCAGATGTTGGCAGCATCCACCTTGGAGATGGGACAGCTGTAGCACAGGTCCCCCATGCTGTGCTCTCCTCCCATGTTCAGCTCTCTCTGTTTATGTTTGTTGGCTGCTTTCCCTCAGAGCTCCAAGGGCTGGCTCTGTGCTGGCTTCTTGAGCAACCTTTAGACTAGATTTTGGGCTTTTGCACAGGACTTTCCATCTAATTTCTGTTCCCCTGAGCTCTGGCACTGTCCTGGGGGAAAAGACAACAAAGCCCAGCAGTGTTTGAAGGAGGAGGTGGTGGTCCTGCCAGGCAAAGGGGATATAAAACCAGAGGGCATCCAGCTCAGCCCTGTTGCACAGCAGACTGGGTCCTTCCATCCATCCTGCCCAGCTGCAAGGATGTGAGCTTTGCCCAGGTGGAGCAGCCCTGCCTTCTGCTGCCCTGTCCCACTGCTGCAGTTTTGGAGAGAGCAATGTTGCTGTGGCTGGTGAAACTGGGCTGAGCTAAACACAGCCTGCTGCCCATGAAGGGAAATTGCTACTTGACTTTTTCACCCTAGACATGATTTCTGGGATTAGCTAGAATAGGAAAAAAGCACTGATAGTCTTAAGGTCTGATTTTTGTATCCAGGGCCCTGCCTTTGTCCTCCTCAAACCCAGGAGCTCTGATCCCTGTGTTTTCAGCCCAAGCAAATCCTCTCAGACTCTCCTGGAAAGTAGGAGGGGCTGCAGTTCTCAAACAGACTTGCTTATATCTCATTCAGAACAATGGATGGGAGTGAGAATGATTCAACATGGGGGAAAAGAAATTTCTCTCAATTGAAATAAAACAGTTTGTGTGTGTGACTTGCTCTAGTGGAAATAAACTGCTTCAGGCTTCCCAGAGGTGGCTGCCACCATGTTGTTACCTGCCACAGGGATTTTCCTGCCATTCTGTAACAATTTGCTGATTTCTGCCAGGATCAGCCAGGCATGTCAATGAGGAAGTAAGGCAGATCAGCTTGGTGCACCTCAGCATGAGTTAACTCTGCTGTTGCTATTTATAAAGGGAAAAAAAGTCCCTTGGTTAGTCCATATTCTAACAGAAAGGCCAAGCTCTGATGCACAGGTTGCAAGCAGCATGTAAAGGCTTCCTCTGGGCTGCTGTGAGAGGCAGCTGCTGCTCGGGTGTGCTCTGCAGGTGTGTGACAGCGTTCTGCCGTGTGTGCTGCCCCCACACTCCCCGGGTGAGACGGCTGGGCTGGGCTGGGCTGGGCTGGGCTGGGCTGGCCCCTGTTTTCCTCTCAACTGGTCCCCAGCTCACCGTGAACGCTCCTGTCCCCAGCGAGTGCTGAGGGCTCTGCCCTGAAAGAGGAGGTGGGGTGGTGCCATTAGGATGAGCTGTGATCCCACAGCCCCAGATCTGAAACGGGGCCACTGCCAAGGGTGCCCGAGGCTCCAGGCTGACACTGCTGCTCCAGGCAGAGCAGCTGCCTGTGGTGATGCTGGAGCTGTGGCTGCTGCTGCCTTGGCTCCTTCACTGCAGCTCTTTGAGAGGGTGTCAGAAGTGGCTGGAGCTGGTTAGCTGCTCCTGAGTAGTGGTGCTGCCCCATCCCTGTGGTTACACCTCCCGAAGCTCCTGTCCCCTCTGACAGTGGCTGACTGCAGGCTGCTCACAGCAGGTTCTGCTGCAGCATGTTTGAGGCTGAGAGGCTGCTTGGGGCTGTAACAGGGGGTGATGGAGGGCTGGGTGTGATGGGTAACAGAGATTGAGGGAGAGGTTTCAGCTGTGCACTGCTAGGGCACTCCCATGTGTGGCACAGCACTTGGTCAGCAGCTATGTGAGGGGAAAAATGGCTTTTCCCTGTGTCCTGCTGGGGCAGCAGCAGGGGTGGGCAGGGAGCTGGGGGGGTGAAGAGCCCTGAACACAGTGAGCAACAGGGAACTCGAGCTGTGAGCAAGAAACACAGGCTCCTTTTAGACAAGGCTGTAGGCTCGGTTTCACCAGTGCTTAAAGGAGCTTTGTTCTCTGTGCTGGTTAGAGGCTGATTTCCCAGTATCTTAAACAGAAATCTTGTTTTAGCCTTGAGAAAAAAAGCTTTCTAATTTATAAAGACATGGCATTTTTCTTTTCCCTCCTCTCCCTCCCCACAATGGCTGGTATTGCTTGGACAATGCTGCTCTTTGCAGCATTGTCCAAGGGGGTTCTGCTCTTGAGCTTGTATTTCTTGATCACTGCTGAAAGCAGAGCTTGTCACAATTGCATTTTTCTCTGGAACCTGCAGTAAAACACCAGCTATTCTTCACCTCCCACACTGTGATCACACTTGCTGGTGCCTGTGAGCAGAGAAATGCTGATTAAAGTACCAGTCTCCCTTTGTCTCTCTGGAGAAGCCACCCTGAGCCCCTCATGGCACGCTGAGAGGGCAGCAAGGCTTTGGCCATGGGGCAGCAGATGCTGGTGCCATGCAGGGCTCCAGACACAGCTCATGGGTGATTAGTGAAGGACAGGCTGCTGCATCACTATTTCTTTTTGTTGAAAATGTCCCCTTTCACCTCACAGGTTTAAAGCCTGCCCCATTAACCCTTTTCACCTGCCAGCTCTGGTTAGCTGCAGTGGGACATGGAGGGGATTGCATCTCCTGCAGGCCCAGCAGGGACCCCACCTGCCCATTTTGTCACTCACACAGGTAAAGAAGGCTCAAATCACCTCCTGAGCAAGAATCAGCAGGCAGGCTCAGGAGATGAGCACCCAAGGCACAGGGGCCTGTCCTGGTCACCAAGTCATACCTTCCTGGTGCTATCATCTATGCCAAGGGGCTTCTGTAAGGCAAAAAAGACCCTTGCTGTGTGCTCAGAGACAAGGTAGGAAGGATGGTAAGGCTGATCTTGCACAAAGAGGAAATTTGGCTTGTCTCTTTGCATGTGTTTCATGGCAGTAAAAAGAAGACAAATCTGGGAGGTTCCCCAGTATGGAAGCTTGGGGCATCAGCATCTCCCTGAATGCTGCCCCTCACTGTCCCCTCCATGGGAAGCACAATTTGCACTCCCCTCCAGGCCCTCTTCATCACCAGCGTGGGCCCCATGGCCTCTCCATCCCAGTTTTCCTTCCAGCCACATTCATGTCATGCTCCAGCGTGGCATTGAAGGAAAAATGCTCCTGCTAGGAGAGTTTCTGTGCTTTATGTACAATCAGTAGTGCTGCTAATCACTTCTGAAATTTTCTGTTCCTTTGTGCTCAAAGCCATCATTAAAGCTTCATGAGAAATTCGTCATTCTTTGTAACTTGTGGCTGGTCCAGGTTTTGCCTTTGGGTTTGATTTTGTGAGCAGTCTGAGCCATCCTCACCAAAATGGGTTGATTCAAAACAGCCACTTCCTCTTTGAGCCACATTTCACTAAAAGAATTTGGACTGGTTTTTTCCCCTCTACTTTACTGTGGCAACTATTGCATCTTTAGGATTGACATCAGCTTTCACACACGAGGTAAAACCACGGAATGGCTGTGAGAGATGAGGTTTCTCTCTGTGGCAGAGAGAAGCTGTCATTCTCTCTGCCTGTCGCAGGCAGGGCAATGGGCAGCACGGCCTCTCCTCGGGCACCAGCAGCTGATGCACAGCTCTGAGCGCCAGCAGAGAACGAGGCCGCAGCACTGCGAGCATGAGGAAGGTGAACTCAACATGGCAAATGTAGCGAGAAAACGCCTCAGCTGAGGGAGAGAGCGAGGCCCTCATGCCGGGTTTCCTCTCCCGGCCCGGGCCCCGTGGTGCCGAATTTCTCTGCCCCGGGGGTCGGAGCCCCGCACGGAGCCGAGCCGAGGTAACTCGTGCCCTGATATTTTCGAGAGTAAAACAAACCTGTCTCGCTCCTTGGCTGCCGGAGGTACCCGCGATGCCTGAGGGGATGCCCCGGGCCGGAGCCGAGCTGAGGCCGGGGAGCGCTGGGCAAGCCTGCCCTTCCCTTGACGCCGGCCGGGCAGCCAGGGAGGCATCGCAGCCTCGGCTCCGGCTGGGCCCCGGCCCTCGGCTCTGCTCGTGCAGCCGCAGAGGAGGGATGGCCGCAGAACGGGGATTTTGGGGGATTTTGGAGGATTTTGGGGGTTTTTGGGCACCACCTCGAGGGTCCCTCGCGCCCCCTCTCCCCCCGCCCCCCGCGTTCTCCGCGCGCTGAGGGCGCGTGAGCCGGCGGCGGGCGGTGATTGGCTGCGAGGCGCCCCCCGGGGGCCGCCGGGCCGCGGCCGCGCGCCGAGCGCCATTCACGGCGCTGCCCGCCCGCACGCGCCGAGTCCATTCACAAAAACTTCATTCATAAAACCGGCGGCGGCGGGGGCGGCCCGGGCGCTGCGGAGCTGCTGCCCCGCGGCGCTGCGGGAAACGGCCCCGGAGCCGCGGGAATATTCCGTTGTTTCGGGATTATTATGGTGCTGAAGGACTTTCCAGCAGGAATTAGCGAGACCGACGCTGCTCAGTGTTTTTGGAAAGAATCCTGGGTTTGCGCCTGACGGCGGGGCAGGAGCTGCAGCGCAGGGATGCTCTTCGCCTCTGGGGCAGCGGCGGTGGAAGTGCAGAGAGCCGGGCACCTTACGGGGTTCATGCCGGTCTGAAAATACGTTTGGGCTTGTAGCTGTCTTGATCTGCTTTGTGTGGAATATGCTTGAGCTTTCGCTGCAGCCAGGACTCTGCAATTATTGATGCTACAGCTGTGAATCTTCAGAGCTAGGTGGGATTTAGTGCCTGGCTTGAGGCAGCAATGAAGGCAGGTTTGGATAGTGGCTCTTCAGCTTAAGCTGCTGTACCACCGATGTGCTTTCCTGTATGCTGCTTTTATTTCTGCTTACAAAATGCCAGATGCCCATGCAGTTTTAAGCCTTGTTCTTTGAGCAAAATAAACCATTCAAGAGGGAGTCAGCAAAAATATCCAATAGGTTTCTGTTTTGAAAATTGTTTGACTTTCTTGATTTCCATATAATTTATCTACAAGAGCTAATTTATGCAAGAATATCCAGTTACAGACCTGCCAAGGCTATGAGAGAACGCAGCCAGCAGAGCCTCGGTGGACACGTCCTGTATGTAGGGTTATTCAGACATCCAGGAATGCTGCACAGGGCTAAGTACAGCCGATTCAGGAATGATTCCATAACCTCCCTAGATGAAGGCACACAAAATACGTCTTTAAATATCAAAGGTTCTTCCTCCTCTTCCCACTCTTCAACACCCAATTTACTGACAGAAGATGTGTCCCTGGGGCCGCAGGACACCTGCACCACGCTGTGCACGCTGATCCCCCGGATGGCCAACATCAAACTTGCCAACCCATCCAATCTGCCGGGCCTGAAAAGCTTCTGCCTGGGAACCAAAGAGGTGCCACGAATTAAACTCACGGAGTGCGTTACCATCCCCAGCAGCCCGACCTCGCCTGAGATCAGCTGCCTGTCGGCCTCCTACCCCCAGCCCGACCTGGACAAGCTGGTCCTGACCCCAAAGGCAGCAGGTGACTGTGCTGAGGAGGCTGCTGTGGGCAGGCAGGACAGGGGCCTGGCCCAGAGCAATGAGAGCACGTACAGCCAGGAGCCAGGAACCACCTACAGCGTGCGGGTGAGTACATCCCCCTGGGCTCCCATCCTCTGACAAAGCAAACAGCTCAGCTGGCTGCTGGGTGACCTCCATTTTCCTGCCTCTAGAGTCCATGCCCCAAACCACTGCGTTCTCCCACGTATTTCCTATCTTCTGGTATACATAGGGCTGTGGCATTGAGCTGGGAGAGCTAAAAGCATCCCAGCTGCTTGCCGAGGTAACACAACATCCAATTCCAAGGGACTGTCTGTAGACTTTCTAAGGAGTGTGGCTGAACCGCAACTGAAACAGGTTACTCTGCATGTTGGAGGGAAAAGGAGGCCCATGAAAGGGCCTCCCATCCCTCACAGAGAGCAGCTCCAGGCATTAGGTGCGTTCTGACCCACGCTGCTGACATTTGTCAGGGAGGCTGTGGGGCAGGCACCTGCCCAGGTTGTATTTCCAGTGTGGTTTTCTGCTGGTCTTCCTTTTGTGGGCAGTATCTCAGAGGGGGGTTCAGGGGTTCATTGGCAGGAGCCTCACAATGCAACAGGGAGATGTTTTTTCCCTTCATCTTCCTGGTTGTGTTGCTCCCATGGCTGTGGGCCTGCAGGAACATCACTGACATGTCCTGGCCAAAATCTTGGTGGTTTTTTTAACAAGCCCTTTCAATAGTAACAGCAGATTGGTAAATAAGTAACATGGGGGGTTTGGGTGTTTCAGCATCAGAGGATGTGTAAGGTGAGAGGATAAGCAAGGTAATAATTTCCCCAGAGACCATCAGACTTCTTCAGTAGCTGGTGATGGGCTCAGATGGGCTGGGAAATGGCCAGGGCTGCAGCATGGCAGGACTCTGGTGCAGAGGGATGGTCTCACCTGAAGGCAAAGCGGGGCCAAGCGACCAAGGGCTGGGCATTTGGAGCTGCTTCCAATCCTTACCCTCTAGCCCTGGCCCTTGCCCTCCTTCCTGTGTGTTTGGAGGCACTCAGTCTCCCCATGCAGCTTCTTGTGCCCTCTTGGGGTATGGGATTGCTGGGATCTCCACAGAGACCCTTTTAGGAGGCAGGTCAGGTCCATGTTATTGGGACTGCTGCTGCCAGAGATCTTTGGCCTTAACAGCTTAATCAGAGTAAGAGGAGAATTCAGCAATTACATGGAGAGGATCTACAGTTATTTTAGAAAGGCAATAATGTGGTGAATTAAAGAAATGCTGTAGGGCAGAAGCTGTCCCCTGCAGTCTGGAGTGAGGCAGAATTTTTCTTGGTGTTGTTTTAACGAGGGGCCGTGCTGGGCTCACTGCATCCCCTGGGGAGGCAGCTGTGCCGGGTGTGACTGGTGGTGACAGAGCACCTGTGTCACAGCCACATGTCACCCAGGCCTGCTGAGGAAGCTGAGACCCATAATAGCACCTGGTCCCCCCAAATGCTCGTGCAAATAACAAACAGCTCAAATACTAATATTCCAAGAGAAGCGTGGACAGCTCTGATTCTCACACTGTTGTGTTTCAAAATATACTTTGTATGCAGATTGCTGCAGGCTTTACAAGGGGGATATTCACCATGTCCTTGTTCACATTCTACCTGTTAAAAACCTTCCCACAATGCTGCCCATCTGGGGCTGAGGTTGTCTCTGAATGGTACCCATAGTGGCCATGGCACTTATCTTTCCTGCTGGTGTTTGTTATGGCTGTGATGAGCCTGAGGAATATTCCAAGAGGCACTTGCCATCCTTTCTCTTGCTTGTTGGGGAGTGCCAGGGATGTGGCTGCTGCTGGGAAGGAGGGTAAGATCTGTCTCTCAGCACTGTCCTACATCAGTGGTTTCTCTGAGAATAGCAAGGATGATGTTTACTGGACCTAACATGGAGTAAGGCTCTGTACCTGAGCTTAAATCAAAGCGTGAGTCTTTGAAAGATGATTGGTTTTAAAAATTATTTAACTAAAATATGAAAAGGAAATACTATTGCCAGATGTTTCATTACAATACCGTTATAATAATAAGGTAAAGGTTGTTTGCAGCATCCTTTGTCTCAAAGGGCTTTTAGCAATGTACAGGTTGATCCTCTGCTAGTGGTTTGATGGTGAATGCATATAGATATATGCCATTGTATATGTCTAAAATCAGCCACATGTCTCTAGATTAAAAGGAGCCTGACCATTTCTAGCACGGTAGTTCAGAATTACTTGAACTGCACCCTGAAAGCACGTGTGGGCACCAGTGCCCTGCACAGTCCTGCTGCTGGCCACGGAGGATGCGACAGGTCAGCCTGGAGCAGCTGCTCCTTGCCCGTGTGGGGAAGGGGTCCAGCACAGCCCTTTCTTGGTCCTAGATTGCCACCAGCGCCTCTTCCATGATCAGGGCAGGGAAATATTGTGGTATTTCAGCTGCAGCCGCTTCCGTGGCGCGCAGCACCCCGACACTGCCCCCGGAGAGCTGCTCTGCATCGCCCGTCGTAAATAAATAACTCCAGGCGTCTGCAGAGCCGGGGCTCCCGCAGGAAGGAGCTGGGCTCCGGTGATTCATGGCTCCAGCCGCAGCTGTGAATCATGAGCCGGGGGTGCCGGGCGGTGCTGCTGTGCCGGGCTCGGGCTTTGGGCTTTGGGCTCGGGCTTTGGGCAGCCCTGCAGCGCCTCGTCCCACGGGAACGCGGCCCGGCCCCGGCATCGCCCGCGGGGCACTCGCGCCGCTCTGGAATCGATCCTCTCAGGAACCCGCGGGTTTTCGGGCCATTTGCTTTAGCACAGCCGGAGAACGGGGACAGGGTGGGTTGGGAACAATTCTGTTAGAGACCTGGCTGAGTGCAGTGCTGCAGAAAGTGGTTTTTCAGACAACAAACTAAAATATTTCTATATATCTGTATTTATGATTTTTCCCTAGTTGTTTTTTTTTTAATTGAAAACCTGTGAATGAAAGAGTCAGACTTTCCCAGAAAAAAAAATCATTTATCAAAAGCGAATCTTCTTCACAAAAAGCCCTGGCTTGCTGCCCTCAGGCTGTGCTGCGTGGGCATGAGGTGTGGGACAGACCAAGGGCCTGTCTGTCTGTCTGTCTGCACTGCTGCTGCTGCTGCAAGGGGGGAAGATGAGAGCAGGGCAAGCACATGAGGAGAGTTAGACTAGCACTGACAAACTACTGGGAGGGCGTGGGTTGTGCTTAATGATCTTTAATGGGCTCCTTTAATCCTTGAAGGTATCTAGTCTGTTTTCCAGCTGGTTCTGCCTGGATTTTGTGCTGTCTCACAGGTGCCCTGGGGGTACCACCCACATCTGCAGTGGTGTTCACGGCTGCTGGGGGCTGCCTTGGCCTCTCTGCTTCCTGCGGTGGGGATGGCAGAGGTTCTGCTGGCTTTGCTTTTGGATCTGGATGGGGTTGGTGTTTGCTGGAGGAAACCAGTGAGGTTCAGGCTGAGGAATGAGCCAATTGAATGTCCTGCAGGGCACAAACCTGGGCCAAAGTTCTCCATTAGCTGCCTGACTAGTGGCTGCTTACAGAGTTACAGAGCACTTACCCCAGCCCAGTAAACCCTGCTGTGTGAGGCAGGATGAGCACTGAGCTGACTGGCACAGTGCAGTCTGTGTGCTGGCAGGAGCAGAGCCACTGCCAGGGGAGCTCTGGTGGTCTCTGCTTTCCAGTGGACACAGGGACTTTCTAACCCCAAGGCTACCGCAGGCGGCATCTAAGGAAGGGCTGAGAAAACTTCCCTACCAAAACTAGGGTAAATCATGCTTTGCTCCTTCCCCACATCCTGGCTGGCTTCTGTCCATGGAGGGAAGACAACACTTTACCTTCCTGCTAGGGTGAAAGCAGAGGAATCTCACAACAGGTTCCTGAGCCTGGCACTCTGCATTGTCCTGCCATGTGCTGCTTATTCACATGGGCCCTGCCTGGTGCCTTCTCATCTCCTCCCACGCAGTCCCTCATCCTGTTTGCAGGCACTTTCTGTCATCTCATGTAAATAGATGTGGAAAGATGTGTGCATCTTCAATAACTGCTGTTCTCTCCTGGTGGTGTGGGGAAATGCAAGCCAGCCCCAGATCACCCTTTGTACTCGAACACCAAGGGACAAAGCAGTCCCTGGTGCCAGTGCTCTCACAGCCCTTTGCAGGCAGATGGGATAACTCTGCACACATTGTCATTAGTGGAGCCCTTCCCTTTCCAGCAGGGGCCAGTGAGTCTTTCCTTCCTAAGAGCTGCTGCTTGTCTTGGCAAGAGCTCTCCATCCTGCTGCTGACAGAACAGTGGGTTCAGCATCCTCTTTCATTAGCCAGATCAGATCTTTAGCACTTGGCTTGTTTCACTGTTGCTGTTCTATTTTTCTGTAGGTAGCAGAATTCTGCAGTTACATCTGTGCTTGTTGCCCCAGGCTGGTTAGTGCACCCTTGGGCCTGTGTCCAGCTTCCCCCAGCTTGCCCAGCAGCTCAGTGAGCTGGGCCTTGCCTCTCTCTGTGGGCTTCAGAAGATGAACACCCCTCCCTGTACACCACCTTTGGATCTGGTTTTCACAAGAGCACCTGGTGAATAGCTTGCACTGGAGCAAGAGCTGTGGGCTGCTGTGGCTTCCTCTCCCAGGCACCTGTGGTTGCTGCCCTGCTCATGCTTTAGTTTAACCTTCCCTGCAGCAGGAAGGATGGAGTTGGCATTGGCCCTGCATCACCAGAGAAGCCCATTTTTGTTTTCCTGGGATGTGCTGTTTGGGGTGTACTGGACAGGAACTGGGGGCACCACCTGAACTGGAGTTTGGGTGCAGAAGTCTCTGAGACAAACATTGTCCTTCTCTGCTGCCTTCCTCTTCCTCTCATGCATTGGTTGTGCTGCTTCCCATATTTTGCTATGGAGGGGTTAATATTTTTGTTTATTGTTAATTTTTTTTTCCTCCTTGGAGAGCGTCTTTTGTTTTCTTGAATAGGCATCTGATATTCCATTGTCCTTTTGTGTGCTCCATGGGCTTCTCCCAGGCTCTGTGACCCTGACTTGCTCTGCCCCAGCCCCACATTGTCCCCCTGCCCGAGGCTCTGCTGGTTCTCTGTGCCCTCGCACTGCGATGTGAGTGTTCAGCCATTTCTAACTGTGCCAGTTCAGATAACCAACGACAGCTGAAATAAATGAGAGATGCAGTGAGGTGCCATGTTAATGCACTTCCCTACTCAGGCTTTTAAAGGGGAAAAAAAAAAGGTCTTTTGTGAATCATTGATAAGTTCAGCTTCACTCAGGGTCACTTATGCAAAAACCTAATATTGATTTTTCATCTTTGCTTAGAGTAGCTTCCCACGCATCTGTTCAGGATGCAATGGGGACTCACTTGTCAGCATATGACTCACCTACTTCTCTAAATTATTTTTTTTCAAGGATAGAGGAGCAGCCAACCAGCTTACAGGATGCTTGACCTTATACTGTAGGATCAGAGGTCGTTGCTGTGCTACAAGCTGAGGCTCTAGACATATTTTCCACATTTGCTTTGTTCCCGTTAAGCAGGAATATCTTTAACAAGGCAGATAGCTCTCAAAGTCATTAAATGTTCATTAGGGAAGCAGTTCTGCCAACCTTTCAGATTCTTATTGATGTCCTTCCAGGTCTCTGACCTAATTCTGGAGTTCTCCCAAGGGTTACATTGCTATTGGAAAGAAAGCAAAATAGGGATAATACAATTGTTGTGGAATCCCTGACTGCACATATAACATTCTCTTTTTCACACACTCATTTCTGAAAGTCTCCAAAGCTGAAACAGATACCTAAATCCAACCCTCTCTGAATGGCCCAGCAGAAAAATTGATTTACAGGCAAAGTGAGGGAGAGGAACTAAATATGGTACCTTTCTCTGACACAGAATGCCTCCTCCATCCGTTCAGACAAGGGACAGAGTATGCATGACCCTGCCTGGGTTTTCCAAGTTGTCTCTGTCCCAGAGGCTTTGACTCCCTGCAGGAGAGGTCTGCACAGGCATGCTGTCACTGCAGCCCTCAGGCACTGTGTGAGCACTGCAGGATGGACCCAAGAGCAAAAATGAGAGACCCAGCCCTCTGCCAGCCTGTTGAAATGAAGAGATCAGACTGCTTCAACAACAGAGAGATTGACATCCATAGAAATGCTGAAGGATTAGTAAGATATGGTTGGGGATATACCATCACATCCTTGATATTTTTGAGAATTAGTATTATACAAATCCCAAATGAGAATAGAAAAAGCCCCAGCTCTGTCCCATACAACAGAAGTGTGGCAGTCAGCCTTTAATTTAAAGCAGGTCAGTTGATAGTGTAGGCTCTTAAGAGCTGTTGCTATGAGCTGGAATTGCAACTTCACATCCTTCATCTTCTGCAGAGGTTATTTGTCATCAGACATGTAGCAGTGTGGAGCCAGTGGTTTTCCTTGTGGCCTGTAATGCCTCCTACTCTCTGAAGGGACACTCAGCTCTTCTGCATGGGGGCTCTGAGTGCATTGGTCTCGAGGGGCTTCCAGAGCCTCTCTGCTCCCAAGGACTCCGTTCTCTCCAGTATTTCCTCATGTATTCCTCCCAGCTCAGTGTCACAGGCTAATAAGTGAGAGTAAGCAGAAATGGAAAAAAAGGAATAATTGGATTTTGTGTCCCCAGAGTGCTTTGCCTTTTGTTTTTTTTTGGTGCTATGGTGTTTAAGCCATTGGTATCTTTATTGCTCTTCTCTACACTTTTAGTAAAATAAGATCTATTTAGGAAGCAGCTTTAGGATGGCTGATTTGATTATCCATTTAGACTGTGGTTCTGCATAAACTTAGTGGACAATAATCACATTTGCTTTCTCCTGTGATCCTCCTCTTACTTGTGTACCAGATATTAACAGTCCTCCCTTTTCTCTGTTTTCCATAGTACATGGGCTGTATTGAGGTGCTGCAGTCAATGAGATCCCTGGACTTTGGCACACGAACACAAGTCACCAGGTAGGTGGTGTAAAACTGAGATTCAGCCCAAGAATGAAAAGCCTGAGTGCTAATTTTTGTATAAAGCTGAGGGTGCGTGCCAAGCTCTGAGACAATTCTGAATAGGAGTTTGCATGTTTTGTTTTGTCTTTTCCTAAGTGATGATTTGAATTATTTGATCATTACAATAGGCTATTTGCATTGGAAAATGAATTGTTTCAGGCACAGACGTAATTTCTCTCCCAGTGCTTGCTCAGAGAGCCTCCCCCTGCAGTGGCAGCACAGAGCAGACATCCCCAGCCAGCTGGGGACCAGCAGCAGCTGGGCTCTGCACGTGGCTCAGCGCTGCCTGCACGGCTCTCCAAGGCAGGGGGAAATCCACTGGTGCTGCTGTGCCTGTGGTGCCATGGCCAGGGTGCAGAGCCAGGACCCTCGTGGGTCTCTCTGTCATCACACTGCTTCCCACCTGATGCAGAAAGTGCCATCAGTCCCTCAGTCCAGCAAGGTCATCTAAGGAATTTTTATCAGATGTATGACATCGCTTGACCCCATCTGCACCAAGACCAGCCTCAGCTGGAAGTGGAGTCACAAGGAAAACATGTTGAAATACAGCTGTTTCCATCTGTACTGCAAGCCTAAGTTTTTAGGCTGCAAATCAGAGAAAGATTAATGTTTCATTCTCAGATACAACTGGGGATGTGGTTAAAACATGAAATATTTTGTGGTCTTTTGAGAACTTTGCTACTTCTGTTGCAGATTACTGTCAGTTTCTGGGTGTAGATTGTTAGTACCCCCATGCCTGTGGGGTGGCTGAAATGTCCTGTCAGAAAGAGAAAAGCCCATTTTTATTTTGACATTTATTCTTGTAAGTCTGGAAGTGCAGGAGTGTTTGGGTTTTCAAAACAATCACCTTCTATCCAGCTCTGAGTGCTGTGTGGTGCTGTGATGTGCTCATGGTCCACCAGTCAGGACTAGTGCCAGGCAGCCCCAGCAGCCACCCAGCTTTTTGGAGAGATGGGTGGCTGCAGGTTATCTTCACCTGGCCTTAGACATGTTCCCTTGTCCTCTCATCTGCTTTTCTGGCATAGTTTGTGCTGAGGATGCCAGGAGTGTGGTTGAGGCTTCCTGTACCTGCCCAGCTCTTCCTTCCTGCTGGAGGGAGATTTCCAGATGCTGTTTTGCTTTCCAAAAATTGTATCCAAAAATTCCTGGAGAAAGGAAAGCAACGTGAAGAGATTAGTGTTACATTTATACCTTCTGGCTCCCAAACTTACCAACTGAAAGAAACTGAAAAACATGAGTCCTTCAATGCCTATAGACTTCACTTCAAAGCTGTCCCGTTTGTTTTATATTCAAACCAGCAGTTGTTGAATGTACAACTGGTATAAGCACACACTCACCCAGTTCCTTCACATCTGGATGAAGAGGTGCCTGAGATAGCAATATACTTCCCTTGGGCAGGTCCTTTACAGACCAAGAAGAGCCATGTAATACACCCAGCCCAGGCCACTGTGTTCTTCACAGCTCAGCCAGAGGGCAAGGTTATCTCCTGTTTGCAAGAGGTGTGTGTGCTGCTGTGCTAACAGAACAGAGCTTTGTCTGGTGTGTCAGGAAAATAATGAATATGAATTACTGCGTGACAAGAGCTTGCCAACTTAAATTTGGGCTAGATAGTAAGGTTTTGTTAAGCAGAACTGTGTCAAAACTTAACAATGGAAATATTTCCATCACCTAAAAAAAATGCCACTGCTGACCTTAACGGGCTCTTTTGTGCATGAGAAATTCAAAACTTAAACTGTTTGCAAACCAAATGCTGAAGTGCTGAGCTCACACATGCAGACTTTAAAGTCCGATCGATGACAAGCTGACTGGAGCAAAGATAACATTGATTATTCCCCTATTGTTCTCTCAGGGGAGTAAGTTTATAGACACATGCACAATGCACCAACCAAGGAGCTGCTGGAAATTACCCCATTTTAACCATGCCTGTTACTTGAATTGGGGTAAAAAATATTTTTACTTGGATGGCATTTCACTAAACAAAGAGACATCTTCTGTTTTAAAGTGATGTAGAAAGGGTCTCTAGTTATGCCTGCACCCTGCCTTGATTTATGTGTATGTGCATGCTTAGTTACCTCATGGTATCTAAATTTGAAGATATTATTTACCTTTCTCATGAATGTTGAAAAGATGAACAAACTCATGTTTGTCAAAGTGAAGCGAGGAGTCCAAAGGAGTGAACATGGAGAATTTGCTGTCTGTTTTCTTGCTGGACTTGCATTTTCAGTTGCTTGGCAGGCACATGGTCAGGGAAGGCAGAGAGTGGCCTCTCTGGTGCTGTGAATGACCATGGGATGCAGAGGTGCTCTGTGGCCAGATGCCCACAGCACAGCAGAGAAGGGCTGGGCACTGAGGTGCTTTTACCCTGGGTGGCTGTGGGGTGAGGACGTTGGCACAGGAGATTCCACTGCAAGTTTTCCAGCTCTCTGCTGTTGCCTGCCCATGACCCCACTTGTTCTTAGGGACATTCCTCCCATTTTTCAGAAATCTGTGATCTCAACCTCCATGTAGAGGACAAAGTAACACCAAAAAATAACAATAACCATAACAAGTTCTTCTGCTTGGGGGGTCTTTGTATTTTTTTTTTTTTTTTTTGTAATGGTTAGCCTGTGCTTGCTGCTCTGGATACAAGATGTGTTTGGGTTGTCACCCTTGTGCTGTGGCAGGTCCTGCCTTTGCTGGACCCTCATGTGTGCTTCTCTTGTCCAGCCATTCAGCTCTTTTCCTCTTACACATTTCTGTTAAATCAAGCTGATTATTAGTCATCAAATTTGGGCATTTCTGGGAAAAGAGGTTCTGTATCTTGGATTGGGGCATTAACTTATAAACTCCAAAATGGTCAGGCATTGAGGGGTGAAGGGTGTCTCAAATGTGCAGCCAGGGAGGGCTGCTGGAAGAAGGCTGACTTTGTTTGGAAGATTAATTTCAACTTTGTTGAGCCACATAATCCCTTTCTGTTACATGGTGTAGGCAGGGCCCTAGATGCTTAAAAGCAAATCCTCAACAGCATGCTTGCTTGCTTACATCAGCCATCCTTCGTCTTTTATTCTGGTTTTGGGGGAACAATGAACAAAGTGGCTCAGTGTTACTGCCCACAGGCCTCTCCCTCACGGGCGTGCTCTGCAGGAGCTGGGTCAGCCACGGGCTTCACTGCAGGGCTGCAGACCCAGAGAAAACCTGTGGACTGTGCTTCTGAGTGGGCCTGAAAAAAAAACCCAAAAAGCTGGTTTAAAGGTTTATGGATGCCAAAAATGGGTCACTCATTTCGGTTTTATCATGGGTGCATCCAGAGTTTCTTTTATTCCTAGTGTGTGGAGCAGTTTGTGGAAATGACTGCATGTAGGAAGTGTTCAGTTGTAGCAGCAGGTATTACCAAACTCCTGCTTTTCACACCTTTCAAATAATATTTGTAAAGTTTTGTTAGATCTCTTAGAAAATCACCCAGAGGTATGCAGCAAGAAATGTCTGTACAACTATTTCCCCTACCAAAGAGAGGTAGTAGAAACTATTAAATGGTTTGGTACTTTTTGGTTCCTTTTTACTGGACAGTTGATTCAGAGCATGGTGAAGTGGGCAGCCACCAGACTGGCCTGTACAAGAATTGGCTCTGTGGCTGGCAACTCTGCCTGCAACTCTTGATTTCACATGGGCTGCCTGACATGTGCAATAACTCATTTGTCACCAAAAGAGACAACTTCCCTGTTTTTCCAATTTGTTCTGTATCTGGTTTTCTTTCTAGGTAAGGCTAGACTTGAAGGCTCCAAGTAGCCTTAATGTCTTGGCTCTGATTTTAATTTCCTTTAATATTGAATGAGAAGATGAGTTCTCATTTTCCAAGCTGATTATTGGAATCTGCAAGATCATCCTGCAGGATGCCTTCCTCTTTTTTTTTTTTTTTAATTTGGTCATGTTTGGCCTTCCCCCTGGTAACAGCAGGAGCTAACCAAGAAGGGTATTAGAAATTTATTTAAAAACATATTTTCAGTTGTGTAGGGAGAAGTACTTTGCTTTTAAATGCTAAGAAGAGTCAGTATGTAAAAGGGTTTCTGATCTTGGGTAGCCCACAATGAGGCCCCTTTTCTTTCCTGATGTTTTCACTCAGAAAATATTAATTCTATATTGCTGTGGGTGAGGTCTCCATTCATGTGACAGCATCCAGGCTGAATTTCTCAGGGTGTTTGTTCCCTCAGTGTGTATCACTGATGTTCAGTGCTCCAGCACACAGCCCACTGGTGTGGCAGCCCTGGGGGGCTGAGCAGGGGCAGGAGTGAGTCTGGGGTTCACCCCTGCTGGGCTGGCTTTACTTCCTCTCTCATCTGCAGGGTCCTGGGGGGACCACACTCCTCCTCCCTGGGCATCTCTGCTTCATTGGACATACCTGGCTGGAGCCTCTTGTCATTGTGTGGTTTCCTGATAATTTTCAGCCCTTCTGGACTAAATATTTCTCAGGAGGTGAAGGCCAGTGGTGTTTTCCTCCCACAGACACAGCAGGATCTGGAAACAGACAAGCTTTCCCAACCAGCTCGTTTCCTAATTAGCTCTTTGGATAATAATTCAATAATACAAACAAACAATTAAACAAACTCCCTTCCCCTTTAGAACCAAACAAAATCCCATCCTTGGAGGTAAATCTGAATTCAGCCCCAAGAGAAAGGCTGAGGCTTGGAGTGCCCAATATGGGAGCCTAAGCCTGAGAAGACCCAGCCCCTGTGGGACAGGGCCAGGGCAGCTGGAGACACTGGGGCTGCTACTCCAAGCAGGGTGTCCAGGCAAGCTATGGAAACTTGCTGAGCACACCCCAGCCCAGCAAGGCACCATTCTCCTGCTGGCTTCAAAGCAGCAGCTGTCAGTGAGGAAAAGCCTGTAACTGCCAGCAGAAAGGTTCTGTCCCAGCTGCTGTGCTAACCTTGACCAGGGCCATCAGTGCTGTGCTGGATGTCCAAACCAGTCACTTCCTGAGCAGAGGCCACAATGTGCCTTGTTCAAGTTGGAAAACAGGCATAGCACAGCACTCTGTTATCCTGTGTGGATTTATCTTTCATCTAGAAATGAGCACTGTGTGTGCTTTATGCCTTACCCTTCTGCTGCCTGAACTGAGAGGAACCTGCAGAGGAGAATGGGGTGGCTGGACAGAAGGTCCAGTTTGGAAAATTCCTACCAGAGATGGAAAGATATGGATTGATAGCTCTGAAAAGGAACTAGGGAAGCTGATCATACATCCCCACCCTTCTACTGTTGTTTGGGTTATTGTGTTTTTTGGTTTTGATTCTGGTTTTTTGTTGTTTTTTTTTTTTTTTTTTTGGGGGGGGGGGAAGGTGTTGTTTTGGGATTTTTTTCTGTGGTTTTTTTTTTTTGGAAAAGAAATCCCAAACCCCAGAAAGTGAATCAGAGAACCCAGCTGGGTTCACTCAGCATGCACCTGCTGTGCTAAATAGGAAGGATTAAGTAGGGAGGAGCCCCTCCTGCCATGCAAGGGACCTATCAACCATTCTGAAAAAAAGGTTTTGATGGTATTAAGTTGCTTGTCTTCTGGTTAGTTATGTTTGAGGGTTTTTTAATTAAAAACATTTAAACATTTTCATAAGGTGAAATGGATGGGTTTGATGAAGAAAAAGAATCCAAACCCGGCTGCTGAATCACTGTATTTTGTTAAATAGTTCTTTTGGTTGTTTTTTTTTGGTGTTTTTTTTTTTTAACAGTGGGAGGAAAGAAGAAAGAAAAACAACTGTGAAAGACCTTCCAGAAGATTTAAGAGTTTATAAGTGGGCAGATAACAATAAATTGCAGAGTTGCTGGCTCTGTTACAGATGGTGCATGTGAAATGATCCAACAGTTTGTGCTGTATTTTTTATTTGCAGGGAAGCAATAAGCCGACTGTGTGAAGCTGTGGCGGGTACAAATGGAGCTATAAAAAAGCGGAAGGTAAATCCTGTTTTAGCTCAGCAATTATTTTTCTGTATCTGCTTTTGATAAGCTGGATACATGAGTCTCTAACAGGCTTCAGTCCATGCTGGAATTAGTGCATTTTAATCCATCTGAACTCAGCCTGGATAACATGGAAGTGCTGGTAGCAGGGTGTTTAGTCTGTTTGGTTTGGGGCTGAGGCTATGCCCTACTTTATTTTTCCCAGGATTAATGCTTTGTCCAGAGTTCCTGCTTCTACCAGCCCTTGCAGTGCATGGTGCTTTACAAGTTTTAGGCTTTGGCTGCTAAACTATTGGAATTGGGGTTTTTTTTGGTTTGCAAGAGGGAGCTAATTCACTGGAATGTTATCTGCTGCTTATTTTTATATAAAAAAATTAAACACATTAAACTAAAATGGCAGTGTTTAATGGATTTTATTAAGTAACTGGGATGCAGTGAGGGGCAACATCAGTGGTTGCTGTTGGGTTGTGTCCAGCAGAACTTACAGATTTCCTTCTGTAACTGTGGAGCTCAAGAGGAATACATGAGAGAATTTCTTGCTTTACCCAGAAACACTTCATCCTCCAGAAACAAAGAAGAGTTCAGAAAGAAAACTGCACATTCTGAATTCCTGAGCCAGCTATAACATTTAGCTCACTGGGATTTTTTTTTCCCCATTATTGACATAAAACCCATTCCTACCAGTATTGCATTCAGAGCTGATGTTTGTTAGAAGATCTATTTGCATTTGATCAAGCCATTATCCTTGCTCCATTGAAAGTCTCAATAAGATACCATAAAACCTCCTTGACTTTCATATGTTTCTGCCCCTCACAGACTGGGCTGACAGCCTCTTTCTTTTCTTTCTTTGTTCAAAGCCTCCAGTGAAGTTTCTGTCTTCTGTACTTGGCAAAAGTAACCTTCAGTTTTCTGGCATGAATATAAAGCTGACCATTTCAACAAGCAGCCTCACTTTGATTAATGCTGACACGCAGCAGGTAGGATCCATGTACTCAGGGTCCTTTTCTCCATGCTACAGTTTTGTCCTCGTTTGTGGCTTCTGAGGGAAGGAAGTGCCCTGCAAAGGGCACCCTTTAGCATGCCTGGTGAAGCTGATGCCTCTGAATTTAGAAATGAAAGCACCTGACATACAGCGCAGGTCCTTTTTGTTCATGATGGCGTGTTCCATGGGGAGGGATCCTTGAGCTCTTGGCAAACTGTTTCTCTGGATGTGTTTGCCTGTAAAGTGCCAATAAACAAGTCCTGACTGTAGTTTCTGACAAGTCATAGGAGGAAAAAAAAATTGATGTAGGTATGAAGTCAGAGCTTGGCTTTGGTATCATTCAAAGCTATTTTACAGCTGGATAATGCATATGTACAATCAATTATACTGTGTAAAGTCTCTAGGCTCTATTGAGGTGTGTTCCTGAGAGCCTGGGTTTGCTTGGAACTGGGCTGTGCTCCCTTCCTTCTTGGCAGATATGATAAGGATCTTTGTCCTGCCCACCTAATTCCTCCCTCAGCTGTTGGTATTGCTCCCTGGGTGATCTCACCCCGGGCCAGCAGCAGGTTTTGCTCCAAGCTGGAGCAGGGGAACATCAGGGAGGTCATTTTGCCTCACTGGCTCTGAGGAATGCTGCACTGAGCTGGTGCCATGCTGAGCATCAAGGAGCTCTTAGGGGTTGTCTGTAGTGCAGAGGTCTCCTGTCCATTGCTCATCCTGGGAGGGGATTAGGACACCAGGTTTCCCTTTCTTCCTTTTGGTACAATTAGAAGTTGGTGGTTGAATTAATTCTGAAGACTCTTTACGGAAGATTACTCAGGGATCTAGACATTGGTAAACATGAATGGGTAATCTCAAAAATATTCCTATTTTTATCTCTTTCCTTCCTAAATGATACGTGCATAAATTAATAAATGGGATTGTTATGAATTTACTTGCTTGTTCTATAGAGACATATGTTCTGATGTCTTCTAATGTGTAGCCCAAGGGCATTTTTAATTAGTCTGTTATGCTTTTCAGATTATTGCCAACCATCATATGCAGTCCATCTCATTTGCTTCTGGAGGTGACCCAGTAAGTATTGATTTATTAAATATATTTCTGCAGGTATAATGAACTCATGTAATAATTGTTACCTGCAAATACTTTGCTTCATCCTTTCCTTCCACAAGCACTAACAGAGTACACTGCACTTCTGGATCATGAGCAGTAATACAAGAAAACTGGGGGACTGACATTGAAAAGGAAGTGTGGAATAGTGACTCAGTGCCTATTTAATAGATACACAGTTAACTTTTCTGTTACCCATCAGTGAGTGTCAGTCAATTCAAAAGCCCTCTGACTTGGGGATCTAAAAATAAGAATGTGAACATAGGAATTGATCCAGTTCAGTGGTCCCTGTGATCCAATACCTGTCATAAAAGCTGTCAGCACTGGCACTTCTAAATTTTTAGATTAATTTTAACTCAAGCAAACAGCTCCAATGAGACAGATATGGCATAACCACCTTCTTCCTGAAGATAGAGCTGTTCTTCCTAGTGTCACTGCCATGCAGTCATGGATGTTTTCAAGTCAGAGGGTTTTTATTCTATTCCAGACTCTTTACTGTAATGATTGTAAGCAGGAAATGCATCTATCTGGGTTGGATAAGTAATTCCTTAGGGCTTGTTTACCTTTTTTAGTGTTTTTTATATTAGTATACTGCACTGCTCTTGCACAGTGACTTCAGATTTCAGAGGCTATGCAGGGCTGGGTTTGGTCAGTGCTTAATGGCAAAGCCAGCAAGAGATGTGTGTGCACAGATGTGCTGCAGGAAATGGGCTTGGTGGAGCAGCTGCTGACACTTCTTACTGGGAGGATAATGCAAAATAGAGGTCTTGCTCATCAGTGATAACTATAAATCTAGTGGCCCTTCACATAAGGGGCAATTTTGTTGTCTTGTTCAGGTACTTTTTTCAAAATTCTCTTTACATTTAAAATGGGAGATGGTTCCACAGGACCTGTCTTTCCACCTGCCCCACATTCAGGGTCTAATTGAAGTTCAGTGTTGTTCTGGGCTGTGAAAGAGTAGGACTATTCTGCCTGATAATTAAGCCTATTCTGGCTTTATTTTGAAGCAAAATCATCCAGGCATCTACATAAACATTAAAAAAGACATAAAAAATAGCAGGTGCTGCTCCAGTTACTTTAGTTTCTAGTCACTCCCTAGATTTGATTTATTTTAAAATATCTATCCTGAAATATTTATGAACTTTAAGAAAAACTTGAAAGGAAAAGGAAGGAAATTGAGTTCACTAGACACATAAGAAATATTTAGCTTGCTTTGCTTTAGTAATATTAACTTTAGAGATTAAAAAAAAAAATCTAGGACAAGTTCTGCTGGCCCTAAGACCTGCCTCTTGTGTCTTTCATTGTGAATTATTAAATGATTGTTCTTGTGCATATTGCAAATGGGGCCTTGTTTCCTGCCAGCTGATTGCCTCTTCCCTCAAGAGAACCATGCCTTTAAGCTGTGAATTGCATTTTCCCTGTCCCACCTTAAAGATCCAAAATAACAAAATGCATCTTTAATAATTAAAAGAATGTTATTCATTACCTCACCAATTTGACTATAACACTGAATTATCAAGCCACTCTTTGCTTTTGCGGTATCATTAGAAATGTTAATTTTTCTATTCCAGTTCCCTTTTCAATTTGACTAGGAAAAGAGGATTATTTCAGTGCTGGCTAGAAAGAGAATCAGAAACAGAAAACTGATTATACTGAGGTTGTCTGATCTCAGCAGCAGCTTTGAGATCCAGGGTAATTTAACCTGATTGTAGCCAGACTAAAATTGGGCAGGAGCAACTGAGATACCCATTTTATTCTGCATAATTTTAGAGTTTAACTTTTCTCTAAGATGCCTTCAAAACTCAATCTTATTGCTACAAATTGGGAACATTGGAAATTTGTCCCTTGCAGTATGCTAGCACTATTTTATCTTCCAGTGATTCTGGAAAGGACTGTCCCAGCCAAAAGCTGTGAGCAGCAGTCACACAGCCCTGATGTGTTACATGGGAAAGGCTGTGAGCTCCACGGGAGCAGTGGAAGGGGCAGCACTGCCTGGTGATGAGGCACCAGTTGTGTTTCTACTCCTGTTGCAGAGCTGGAATTGAATACACAGTTTATTGAAGACCCAAAGAATGACAAATGGTCTGGTCCATTTTTTAGAAGAAAAAGAATATGGGACAATTACTGTGTTGATAGCCACCAGTGTGTCATTGATATTTTCCTTGGCTCACTTTGCTAGTACCTCTGGTTGTTTTTCCCTGAAGGAAGCGTGCATTTTAAAGCTAAAAATGTACCTGTCTATATGCAATTGCTGTGCTGTGGTGGTAGGGTTGTTCATAATTACAATGTTCAAGACATTTGTTGTCTTCTTTCCTGTAGGATACAACAGACTACGTGGCATATGTAGCAAAAGACCCTGTTAATCAGAGAGGTATTGAAACAAGTTTCCAACTGTTATATGTGTTTATATGATTGCTTTGTTTGTACGTAACAAGGAATTGTTTGAGTTTTAAAATAAGGAAGCTACTGAACTCAGCTCAATATTCTGTACAATTTCTGGCTTTTCTGTGTGTGTAGAGGCAATAGTAGGCAGGCTGTGGCTTTAAATATCATGTTCTTTGTGCAATGAAGTGGGAACTGCAGGTCAGACTGGAGCTGTACTAGCTGCTGGCTCCATGAAGGGGTAGGAGCTCTGCTGTAAGCAATATAGCTTGAGTCTTTACTTTCTGGTATAAACTACATTTACTTAACTAAAGTAAGGTGTCTCTTTTCAGCATGCCACATCCTGGAATGTCCTAATGGGATGGCACAGGAGGTGATCAACACCATAGGCCAGGCTTTTGAGCTCCGGTTCAGACAGTACCTGAAGAACCCATCTAGCCTGGTTACACCTAATGAAAGGTCAGCACATTCTCAGTCACTTAACTGGCAGTTTCCTTCTCTTTAGTACTTTTCAGGAAAACAATACACTACAAAGAGTAATCCATAAGTAAGATGCTTTGAATATGCTTTCTGGACATAGGATAATTCAAATGTATGCCTGCCTGTACGTGCAGTGTATAAGATATCAAAATTAGCTTATTCCAGTGAACTCCATTGATTTTTGTGACATTTGTACAGGTGCAGAACACAGAATTAAGCTGTATTGTTCCTTAGATAAAGCAGCCTTATTTTAAGTCATGCAAGTTGAACAAATGTTCAAATTACTTTGCCCAAGTAAGTTCAGCTCTATAAATAGCAGACACACACACACAGAGACTGAGCTCAGTCCTGACCTGTGCCAAGTTTAAGCTTGCTGCAGCTGTGGAAAGTGTGTGGTGGGGAAAAAAGCCATTTTAATTCACCTTTCTGCTATTCTGCTCATGTTCTGGCAGCAGCCTCAGTTTTCACCTGGCATGACTTACATCAGCCTCATGAATTGAGATAAACACAGCCACCACTGGCATGTTAAAGCGTGAAGCCCTGTCCTCTACACATTGCCTGAAATACAGGGCCTAGATTAGTTTCTGGACCACAATTCCCCATTTCAATTACCCTTCTTCCATTGCACTGGGGACACAATTCTTGCTCTAATTTATGGCTCTCCTCACAGATTAGACATGCCTATTTTTCTCAGGCTTCTTTTTACTGTAACACCAAATTTGATTGTCTGCTACTTCCCATGAATAGGTAAAGCTATGCCACTGCTTACCTGCACCCTGAGCACAGGAGTCCTGAGCAGGCAGTGTCACTGGAACAGGGCCTAATGCATCACAGCAGAGCTGGTTTTATTGCATAAATGCAATTCCAGTTTATATTATTTCAATGTATATGATGGTTCTTGCCATTCCACTGCTAAAACTGGTCTGTTTTTCCTGGGGAAAATAACCAGAGGAAAAGCCTTTTATTCCTAAGAAATCCTGCTAGGTTATGTCACAAGCAGCATAGGAGCAGGGAGGAATGGAAGAGGGTAATTAGATTTCCTCCTTGAGCATAACCCACAGGCAGCCTCCGAGAACGGTCCTCAGGCAGAGGAGTCGGATATTGCTGTGTGAATGAGTCACTCCCTTCCAAACTACTATGAATCACATAATCAAATACTTGCACTGCATATCACATAATCAACTACTTGAACTTTATCTCTTTCCTGCTCATGGCCTTTTATCCAATTATACTCTTGTTAATCAGAGAAGTAAGATTTGAGATGAGTTTTTTTATTTTGGGACCGGAGACAGTACAGGAAGCACCTAGTTGTTTTGCAGTGTATCAGCTGTACATTTAAACTATCATCATTCTGGTTTAGCACACATTGTGTGCTCTCCTTCATGTCATTCAGCGTTCCCTTCAAGCTGAGCCAGAATATTGATTGTGGTTATTAAAATCAGGGTAAATGCCTCTGAGGACAGCTACTTATTTATTTATTTATTTAGGGTTTTTTTTTTGGTAGTAATATTTGATTTTCTAAAACAGTTGCAGGCTTGTCTGACTAAATGCCATGAGGTTTTCATTTTTCTCTTGAAGTCTGGCTGCCCCCCAGCAATCTCTAGATTTATAGACTTCAGTCAAGAAGCCATAAGAATTAGTTTTATGGTCAGCATTTTGGATACCTCAATGAACAATGCATTGGAATTCCTAAAGTTTCAGTAGATTCCTCTGACCTCTTCTTTGACTCGAAAATATATCTGGGCTGCCTGGTGCTAATGAAATGACTGTACCTCCCTTTACCCCAAACTGTCATGACTATTTTTATTTCAGGAAGAAGTAACTGGAAAAATAAACAGCTCTGAAAGTTCCGGCCCAAAGCCCTTTACAGCCTCCGTATGGCGAATCTGTGTATTGTGTGTTGTGCAGACACTGGGGATGTTTGCCTGCACTAGAAAGCAATTGATTACATCAGAAGCTTCATTTTTTTCCCCCTCCCCATATTTTTTTCAGTGAGGCAGCAAATGCTAATGGATCAGCTGGGAATTCACAGGAGAGGGAGGATCATCATGAATATTACAACGAAATTCCAGGGAAGGAGCCTCCCACCGGCGGAGTGTTAGACATGCGAATGAAGGTGCAGACAGACCCAAGGGCCAAGTGTCCTGTCCAGTGCAAAAAGCAGTATTGCTCAGTAAGTACAGCATCTGCTGGGATAAATACTCACTGCCTATTATGGGAATGAATAATAAAATGTTTCTGTGGTGTTAAAGCATGGCATTAACATCAGAACCAGGTCCTGATTATCCTGGGAAAAGGTTTTTTTAGGCTAGATTTAATGATGCTTAGTACATAATTGAATCCCAAAGCACTTTCTGAATATTAACTGGTTTGTCCTTAGAGTACTTTCAGGAGACCAAGTAATATTCCCTTGTTCACTCATTAGCTCTGAGAAGAAAATAGATACCAATTTAAATGGCTTGTTGGAGAGAACATCTGCAAAATCTGGGACCTCCTGGCTCCCTATTCTGTGATCTAATAAATATTTCATCCTGTCCATTATGCTCTACAACTTATACATACAACATTGACTGATTGCAATATATATACAATATTCATTACTCTTGGATTGTTTCAAGAAGCTCTGTTAAATCAGCAAAAGAGACTGTGGCTCTTGTCTGGCATAGTGGGAAATAAAAACCAATCAGGGAGTAAAACCAGCCAAGTTCAGATGGCTGCACAGATTTCAGAGTCTGCTGTGTGAGGCCTTGGGAGCACCATCCTTTCCCCACACAGGAAAGAAGGCACCACCACTTTGCTCAGAGGGAGCACACTCAGATGTGCCTGCTGGAATCCAGGTGGTTCTGTCTAAAAGCTTGCTGCTCCCAGGTGTTATTTGTGTTTGGTAGCAACTGCTCCCAGGTTGCTGTGTGTTTCTGTGCTACTGCACCATCTATTTTTTGCTGACATGAACCCTACTCTGCATATCAGGTCCCCACCTCCCCAGCAGTTCTCTAAATCAAAAAATGTTTTACTATATCCAGAGTTTGCACCTGATGCTCACCAGTACTGTTGCAAGGAGCTACCCTGCATGTTAATGCAAATGCCTTTTTCCCATGGGCTGTTACTTTTTGGTTTTCCTTTCTCTTTCAGTGCTGCTCAGACAACTTAGTAACCATTTCACTTTCAAGCCATGAGACCTGTAGTTGATTTTATGATGAGGGACGCTTACTAGAAAATCTGAGCTTTCTTACCTAGGAGTTACACTGTATATATACTAAACATTAGATACATAACTGGGCAGTTATGAGACTCACACTGGAGTCCAGACGTGACATCTAAAGAAAGAAGAGTATCAGTGTGAAATATTATTTGAGGAGATGGGAATTTTTTGGTGAAGAACATGTTTAATTACCTGTATATCTAGTAACTAATGCATGGATGTTTTGAAGTTACCTGGGTTTTTCTAGGGGACTACTTTATGTGACTGATTTTAAAATTTTTCTACAGACAGGCAGCCCAACTTTCATCAATATATATGAAAATTGTCCAGAAGAAAACAAAACTGTGGGTATGTACTCTCTTTTCCTTCTCATGCATATGCAGAATTAACCAGGGCAGGCTGCCTGGAAGAGCTGTCCCTTGGCTTTCAATACAATGGTGAAAAGTGTTCTACTTAGTGGGTCATTTTTAGTTCCCTAGATGGAGGGCAGACAAAAAAGCCTTACAGCTTTTCTAAAGGCCACTAATCTATCTTCAAGTCTGCTGGCAGACTTACTCATTTTACTTCTCATGATACTGTACAGTAGCTCTTTGTTTTTTTATTCTCTTTCATACTCTTTGTTGTTCCCTTTCTTCATACCATTTGAAAAAGGAAGATACTTCATTTCTTATCAGCCTCTGAATATATCCCCTTCTCCTACAAATGCTCAATGAGATCCAGATTATCAGCATTGGTTTTTTCCAACAGAGCCTGGCCCTTTGGTTCCAGCATCCCTGGCTTCTCAGTGTGACTGTGCCCTTCCCCTGCCTTAGGCAGCTTTATGCCCAGGATCAATTTGCCTTTAGCAAAGTCTGCTCTCAGGGACCCCAGGAGATCATCAGCCTCCATCCCTTCTGGGCTTCCTTTGCCACAGCTGATGCCCTGAGCATATTTGCTCAGCTCCTCTCTTTCACTGCACAATGGGGTCCTTTCTGAATTCCCACCTGCGCGACTCTGAAGTGATCCATTACGCTGTCTGTAGGGGATACTTCAGTTTCTTGTGTTATTTCCAATTCAAGGAAAGGAGAATCAAATGGTTTCTACAAAGAGAGGGAGAACAAATAAAAGAATGAATGAATAGATCTATGAATAAAACGTTTGTTGAAGAGCAAAAATATGCCTGCTATTTGGCTAGCTGAAGTGCTATTATTTTCATACCCTGCAGGGGATATTCTGTTAGTCTTGGATCCTAACCTGACAGATGTGGCTTGGGCTCTCCAGGCAGAGCCTCAAAGCACCAATCTCCTCCATCTCTCCCTTCTCCACCAGAATAGCAAGAGAGAGAATTGCTCAGCTTCCCACAAGCTCTTTTTGTGGTGCAGAGGGGAAGGAAAGGGTTTTGCAACAAATAACATGTATGGTATGTGTTTCTGTAGAGACATATGTATTAATTTCTTTCCAGTCTGTGGGGGGTTCACTGCTGACATTGATTGAAGCAGAACTGGATCAGTACAGAACATTTCTGAAAACTTCATTCTAATTACTTTTGGACCTGGTGCCTTCTAGACATCAGGAAAAATAAGTTCATTTGCATTTTTATTTTCCTTCTGAATTACTTTAGTGGGCTATAAAGAAGAACATCATTCCTCTTTCAGCTTTTACAGTTACTTAAAGCTGAGTTAAAAAAAAAAAAGGAAATCTGTGCATACTATATACTAATTGCAGGTAATTGCGATGAGAGATCACAGAAGACAATAAAAGAGGCAACCTCATTGAAACCTGCCTACAAAGCAGATCTATTTGATGATCCATGTTACATCAACACCCAGTCCCTGCATTCTGCAGCCTGTGCAGCCCGAGGTGCAGCAGCAGCACAGATCCCTGGGAGCCCTCTGCGTCAGGCCAGTAGGTTCCCACTGCAGTGCCACACCTGTCTAAGCATGGAAGGAGGGGGGTTTCTCATTTCTCTGCATGCAGAAAGATTTGGCTTTCCCATAAGAAATACAGAAAAGATGGGGAAAGAAATCTATCCTGGTTGTTCTTTTTCCTTGTTAGATTCAAGAGAAAAGGGATTAAAGAGCAGAAATAGTGATGGTAAACAAGCAGGATAACCTTTCATCCTCTGTAGTTCATTGATGACAATGAATGGAGTGCTGCAGGTATTAAAAAGCAAGTCTTGAGGATGATAGGAGCTTGGGACTGCACATTGCCTCTAGGAAAAGGCTTCTCCTGTATGCTCAAGGTCTTAACCACTCTAAGGTGGAAATAACCTCAGATGCCTTTGCTTCACAGGCAGTAGCATGCAGGGTTGAAGTGGGATTATTGTGACAGTCTTTTCTTAGTTCTTCCATAAGTGACCATTGAATCCCATCCAATAATTTCTAAATCAAACTGTTTGATCTGTGGTATCAACTAAATATATGTCCAAACTTGATTTATGGTCTCGAAGTGGAGGATATCCATTAAATGATTACATAGTTGCTACTAATTGTCCTCATTATTGAATATACTTTATTGGCTTTGCCTTTTATGGTTTCCCACTGAGTGCTTTCTCTGTCAGAGTTGGCTCCACACAAGAAAGTGGAAAAAGGACTGGACAATAAAGGAAACACAATGAAGAAATCTGTGACCATTGAGACATTTCCAACTTGGGACTGCATCATGCTCTAAAAGGAACTGCCTATATCCTGAGGAGCCTTAGGTTGCACAATTCCATTGAAGAAGTGGTATCCTCATATTTTCCTTAGAAGAATCCTGCCTGTGAATCATTTGCAGTCTGACTGGCTATATCCCAAACCACCCAGTTTTTTTAGTACATTTGGTAATTGTTCGTTTTTTAACAGCAAATGTATCATGCTGTAATCCTTCCCTTCTGGCTACATTGGCTATGTTGTCTTACATTCCTGCACATAGCTGGAGCCACTCAACATGACTCTCCCAATGATCTGTGACAATCTCTTCAGAGCTTGTTAAGGAAAAAGGAAAAACAAGATCTTACGGGGAAAAAAAATAAAGCTAAAAAGCCAATAAAAATCTTGTTTTTACAGGGAAAATTTGACTTTTTCATACAAAGAAATATAACCCCAAACCAGTACAGCATCAGAAAAATTCCTCTTTCTAATCACTGTTGCCTAGCGACCAAAGGCTTTCCCATCTAAGGTAGGGGGAAGAGGTGGTGTGATAATTTTGCCTAATGCACTGGAGGGTCATGAGCATTCATGTGTGCATATTCTTATAGTCTGTAAGGTTGGTTTGCTTCAAGGCCGAATTGTTTGAATTTTTTAAAAGCTATTAAAGATATTGGCTTGCATCCTTTTAGCATGAGGCTTTAGGTGAAGTGTCCAATACATTCCCTTTCATTTAATTTTAGAGTTACCGGAACCTGTTCAGCAGAGTGCCACAAGCAACACAGCTGGTCTCTGTGCTCTGCCACAAATAAAGCAACAGCTAAAGAATGAAGATTGTTACCATGGCAAATTGAACAGGAAAGCAGCAGAGAGCCTCTTAGTCAACGACGGGGATTTTCTGGTACGAGAAAGCACAACGTCACCTGGTCAGTATGTCCTCAGTGGACTGCAGGGAGGGCAGGCAAAGCATCTACTCTTGGTGGATCCTGAGGGCAAGGTATGAATATTTCATATAATGAAATTTCAGTGCTGCTCAGATATTTCAATCAAAATGCATGGCTGCATTCCATCAAGTGGAAGTGATTTGACTCCATTCAGGTTAACTTTAATATAGTCAGTGGCTGCAGTGGGTTTGAAAGTTCAAAAACTTAAAAGCACTGAAGTACCATGGAAGTAGCAGTGAGGAATTTAAATACTGTTAGTGTACACACTTAACACATCCTGCAAACCGTGAGTGCTAGAAAAAAATAACCCTATCCTTAATTATGAATTTCTGGATACAAAAAGGTTTGTTGTCACTTCAATGCTACGTTCTTCTGCTCAGAAGAGCAGTCTTGGGTGACATTTTTGAAGAGAGAGTTAATCAAAAAAGTAATCCTCAATGGGATTTAGGGAAAAATATCTCTCTTCTTTGGAGAAAAAAAAAGGTTATTTCTTTCCCCTGTGCATAATCAGCCCAGTTTGACATACAATCTTTTCACTTTACCACTACTTTGCTTGTGGGCCAAAGGATAGATCTGAATTGCTGTCTACAGCCTAATGATCCTGCTCAAGTGAGTTCAGTGGCTTAAGTGGCTTTTGATTTTAATGTGTTAGCCTTATGTCCAACTGGTTATAAGCACAAACTAACCTAAAATATATTCTTTTGCTTCTTCCACTAGGTGAGAACCAAAGATCATATATTTGATAGTGTGGGTCATCTTATTCAGTATCACATGGAAAATAATTTGCCAATCATCTCTTCTGGAAGTGAAGTGAGCTTGAAGCAGCCTGTAAGGAAAGAGGGTAATATGGGACATACGCAGTATCACAAATAATCCCTTGGATCTCACAAATCCCAAGACAATTCATACCTGAACTTTCTGTTATGGAGACAAGTCAAAAAAGTATAGACTGCACTTTCTGCTGCTGTTCCAGAAGAAGCCCTTTTGTGTGTGTATGTATGAATATATGTATATGTGTATATCTATGTAGATCTATAGAGATCAACAAGCATAGTTATATAGATACATATAATCTTAATCTTAACAAAATTACACCTTCAGAGTGTGAGATTCATTTGTGAGAAGGTATTTTAGACATGCACAAATGTCACTTTCAAGGTCATACTGAATCAGTAACTATTTAAAAGCACAATTAAAACTCTACATACAAAAGCTCACTTGAAAGAACTGCTGGAACATTAGTATGTGCCTTTTAGCATAGAATTATTGAAACCAATGTTATTTATACTGAATTAGTTTTGGGTGGTTAAACGAACATGTCTATGCTTTTAACTATTTGCCAAAAACAAGTACAATTTGAATATTACTAAAATGTCATCTTCTTTCAATAGACACTAACAATTTCATTTTGCTTGTAACAGCACTTTACTAGCAAGTAACATTTGAAATGAATGGCATTCACAATACAGAAAGGTTGTCCAGTTTCTTAATAATTTTTTTGTCACTGTCTGACTGCTCAAAGATTTGAGGTTACAAACATTTACAAAGCTGAAATTAATATATGTAATATAATTTTGGAATAGAACTTGTTAAGGGACAAGCATGCTAGATCTTAATATTTTTGTCTTGCATATGATTTTACTATTATTATCACTTAATACTGGAAACATCTTTTTAAAGGTAGGCTAAATATATTTTCATTGATTACATAGTTGTTTACAAACTAGAAAAGCTGAACAAAACTAATGATACATTTTGGGAGAAAACTATTTAAAGGATGTTTGAACTTTGCATGTGTCCTTAGTCAGTGTTCTTTCCAAAACAAGATAGTTTTCCCCTCCTCACATAGAGTCCATTTGTTCCTAAACATGGAAAAATCTTTTAAAAGAAATCTATTAATTGTTTTGCCACAATAAATACTCTAAACATGAACAACCCTATATTCAGAGTGAACAGTGATTTATTTGGCTTCCTGTAGAAGAAACAGTGATTTAATAAGTGACTGAAGAAAGGCAGGGGAGATTTGGGGAATGAACTGGTAGTCCAGGTGATGGCCTGAGGGAAATGGTGCATTTGAGACAAGCAATATTCTCTGGCATGAACAGACATAACTCTCTCTGTCTCCCAGCCCACCGGCTCAGTTCCTAAGGCAGACAATTGTTGTGGAGTTCAGCAGTTGCTGGAAATCTTGACCATAAAAAATACATTGTTTGTTTGCCAGTGTTCGAGGTAAATGGAACACTGTAGTATGAGCTCCTTCCTCTAGAAAACAAGAGGAGAGGTCTTATAAAATTATGGAAGACAAGCTTCCTTGGAGGGGAAAATGTAATGTAAAGAGCCACACTTAGAGTCTACTAGAAAACATCTTTATTTTTATCCTCAGCTAATAGCCATAAAAATACATTTCATTCTTTGATAATATGATTAAACTACTCAATTCCATATACTGAAGCAGTGAGAAGGTATAAACATTAGTAGTTGATTTCCTTGCTAATAGTCTGGCATATTCAATACCCTGAGCCTTCAGGGCTAGCAGCCCAAACTTCTGCCCATTCTATCCTGTGCAAGGTGCTCACCAGTGAAGGTCTCCAGCAAGAGTTCATGCTGGAGCTTTGTACCACAGCAAGAAACTGTAACTGGGATATCAACCCCCTGCATAATGTCCTTTCTATTCTCACATCTTGTCAAACTTCAGAATGTACTTGCTATGACTATGGAGCAAGCAATGAAGCAAACCCAGCTCTACTTCTGTGGCATGTCAAGTGGAGAGAAAGACCTGCAGTTTTGATTTTTGTATCAAAGCTGAGTTTTATGACAGGTCATAGAAGGAAAATGTGCAGAACTCCACCTCTATTTTTAGTACAAATCAAAGTTACTCAGGACTTAAATAATAGCATTTGGAGCTGTGATAGTAGGAGATCAAAGTTTCTTGACTTTGCCAGTCAAGATGCTGACTCAGGGACTTTTTTCACTTCATCAGTTTTCACTTAACCAGTGAATAAGGACAGCCAGAGCCAGTGTGTGATGTATATCACAGGATAATGCAGTGTGTTTCTCTCTTTGAATATCACCAATGTAAAACGTTTAAAAGACCTGGATCATTGTTCTGATGCTCCTGCATGTTTTTTACGTATCTGAAGCTGAACTGTGAAGTAAAAAGGAAGGAAAGGGAGATAATTGAGTGCTAGAGCAATAAAGACGTATATCAATATCTTTTGATGTGGGAGGAAGAAGATAATCTAACTAATTACAGATAAAAATCAAAGATAACAAATCCGTGCATTTTCCTAGAATAAACTACATTCATTCCCTGTTTTTGGTTTCTAGCATTTCCATGCCTTCATTTAAGCTTTTAATGCTGCTCTGTGGCCCAGCTGTCTCATGTAAGATATGCTGTCAGCTCCTCTGTGGAAGTCTTAGAAATAATCATGCTAAAAAGAAAAATAGTTGTCTGACTTTTGGAAAGTTTCAAAAATATTGTTCTTGAGAAACTCAATATAAATTGTCAGACACATTTAAATGCTTTTTGTTTTGTTTGAGTCATTTAATGCCTGTAAAAATGATGAGAATTGGTTAATCTCTGTTTGAATGGTTACTAGAATCCTCTGGGAAAAATGGCTGATTTCGCCCATAATGTCACACGTTTAGTAGACATAGCATGTTCGTTCCTTTTCAAACTTCTATAAATTTCACTGAAACACATGAAGTGTTTGCTCCCATCAATAAAAATCCTCTAACAAATGACCCAAACGTCTCTGCCCCGGGGTCCTTTCCCGGTGTCCGGGCTGAGGGCGAGGCACCAGGTGGGGCTGTTACAAACGGAACCAACCCTCCGTCAGAATTGCTTCCTGCGACTCTGCGCAATAAATCTGCTCCTTCTGAGGAGGTTTTTATTTTTTAAAGAGAATGCGCTCTGGAAGCAGAGCGGGTTCCCGAGCAGCCAAGCGAAGGCTGCCTGGGGCAGGGGCTCGGGCAGGAGCGGTGACCCCGCATCCCCTCAGCGCCATCGTGACACGGCCGTGAAGCGCGGCTCGCGGGCTCGTGACGTCACCCCGCGGCCGCGCGTTGCTAGGCGACCGCCACGTCCCGCTGCGAAATGGCGCCGCTGCCCGCCCGCGGAGACCCCGCCCCTCCCCAAAAATCACACTGCCATTGGTCGCCTGCTCGGCCAATCAGCTCGCCAGGCGCGTTCCCGCGACCATGCGCGCCTGCTTTCAAACAATCAGCGGGGGCGGGCCTGCCCTCCCGCGCGGCTGGGCGGGCTCTGGTCGCGGTTGGTGCCCGGGGCTGTCAATCAGCGCGGCTCGGGGCGGTTCTGGCCGTCGGTTGGTGCCCAGTGCTGCCAATCAGCGCGGCGGGCGCGGGCCGGGTGTAATGAGGAAGCGCGGCGGGCCCGCCCCGGTGGTGGCTGTGGAGGGCGGGTGGTCGCGGCGGCTCAGGTGGGTTCCGCTGTTCGGGCCGCGCTTTGCCCCCGTCTGCGGCCGTGGCGGCCCCGCGGGAGGTGCGCTGGATAACGGCAGTGCCGCCCCGCGCCGCAGTTTGAGCGGACTGAGGTGGCGGCGGCCGAGCTTGCCCCGCGCCCCTGGAGCTGCCCCCGGCCCGTCCAGGTGCGGCTCTCCGGGGCTGGCCGTGCACTCTCGGCTGGCTGCCTTCGCTCCCGGGGCTGGGGAGGGCCCTAAGGAAGGGGACAGGGCCGGTGGCGGTGTGGGGGCAGCTGGAGCCTCAGAGCCTCCCGTGAGAGGGGTCACGGGGGGCACACAGGGACAGGAGCTGCGTTGTGAGGCCTCCTGCAGCTCTGCTGGAGAGTTTCCATCAACAGCTGTGGGCAAAAAGGTCCTTTAAACGTGATGAAGTGACTTTTAACTTGGAAATAATGCTCCTGTAATGTTACATTGTACCAAGTGAAGACTTCAGTGTGTGCTACACCTGTGTGCCCAAGCAAGTGTCCCTTGAACGGGAGTAATTTATCTTGTAACCAAACCTGGACCAGCACTTACACACAGCAGCTTCTTTGAGCACACACTGTGTGCTCAGTGCACACAGGCCCTTGGAGGCAAGACTCTCTTCTTAAGCAGTAAAATCTGCAACTCATGTGATGCTTTTCAGATTTCTGGGATACTTTTCCTATTTTTCCTTTTGGAGCTGTTATCCAAATGAATAAGGAACAGCATACTTTCAGTTTTTAATACAAACTGTAGTTATTCTCTAGAAGACTATGAAGCAAAATTCAAAAGTGGACATTACTATCATGATGTATCGCATCATATGTATATGGTGCAGTACTAGAACTTGCAGAAAATAATGTCTTGTTGTAAGTGAGCTTAAGAAATTATATGATGTCAGCCTTGTTTTAAATGCTAAATTCTTGGAAGTGAGTCGGCTTGGATATATGAGAAGCAAATAATGTGCAATGACTGTTTCAAGAATTATATTTTCATGCTGAGCAATTCAGGTGATGAGGGTGGTGCTTTTTGATTCCTCATGTATTTTGCTCACGTGTGATGTTTTCCTCTCCTGTGGTAGGTTTTGCTGGATACACAAAATCAATAGTAGAAAACAATGTCCCTTGACTTTGATAGTGGAGCTCTACAAACTCAACATGAAGATGAAGACTATGACCAAGAAGATTATGCAAGAGAACAAGAGGTGAAAAAGAATTAAGTACTTTAATCTGAAGGCTTGTGAATTTAGTTTCTTCCTATCTTTTCAGCACATAAAATGAAAAAAAAAGTTTTTGTAGTCTGTTAAGAGCAAAAGAGGGTGCAGACTGTGCCACTCTTGGAAAGCACAAGAGGTGAGGTTCAGGTGTGTTTTAGTTGAGGTGTTTTTCTCTGATTGTGTCCAGTTGCTTGGTCCAGAGCAGAGCACTGATCATTGCAGTGATGACTTCTTGAATGTAGTGATACTGACTGGCAAGTTCTTATCTGGATTTCCATCCAGACTTCTCAGAGCATGTTTTGAATGTTCACTACCTCTCTAGCCTGGACTTCAGAGAGAAGAAGTCCTGGCATCATCAGTTTGGAGCTGATTCTTTGAAATTAGTCTGTCCTGGGATGTGTCTACTAGATGACATTTGCCTTACCTCTTTCTGGTGCAGCTCTTTTCTTAACAAGAATTTGGCAGAAAAATGCTTTGGTTGGTACTCTAGTCTAGTAAGCATTCTGTGGTAAAAGTCTCTCTGTGAATTCCAGTGTTGTGAATTCCTCCCTGGAGGAAGAAAACCAGGATTTTGAGCAAGTGGCCTACTTTGCCAATGTTTTTGGGCTGAACTTGTAATTTTCCTGAAGATCGTATAATGAATATTGTTTGTTCTATTTCAGTTGCAACAATTGTTGACAGACCTTCCCCATGATATGCTGGAGGACAGTGGAGACCAACTCTCCAGTTACTCAGACTGTAGCATTCAGGAGACTGAGGAGCAGTAAGGCATTTGGCACCATCTTTTTATTATTTATGTTGTGCTTTCAAGAATAGAGCAAAGTCTGAGTTGATGAGGTGTGTAAAAGTAATCCAAATAAAAGGGGAGTTGTAGTGCAATTTGCAGTAAATTAGATGTGTCTTAATTTAAGAAAAGAAGGTTTGTTTTTTCCCTGAAGTTATTAGTACATAGTTAAGCTGCTTGTGTCTTTCTAGGTCACATGAGCCTGGGAAGCTTGATGGAAGGTGGAAGGATCATCCATTGATCACTGATCCTACAAATGTAAGTTTGTATGAGCAGGGATGTAATTACTGCTTGTTCATAATAACATGCTGAATATTGTTTAAATTAATTAGAGAAATACATGTAGGTGAAGTGTTTTGGTGTTCATTTGAAGTATTTCTAACTTGAGGGCTGGTAACCTCAGGAAAAAGAGGGTGGGGTGAAATCTGAGATTTGAGAGAGCAATTCTAAACCTCATATCCATTCATAGGGCTATGAACAAGGACAAAATCTCTACCC